CGGCAACAGCCAGCCAATCAACGCCGCGATACCGACTGTTTACAATATTTGAAATCTGACATTGCAATTTATCAACAACAAAACTCTTTCGATCGATCGATCGTATAGTATAAAATAGAAAGAGAGCTGTATACGATCGAAAGAGTTTTGCTGTTGAAAAATCCAAACGGTAAAGGAGGCTAGGTGGCCAAGCAGGCGTCGTAGTAATGATCGGTCTTTCTAAGTTCCATAGAATTTTAGTCTCGAAACATTTCGCTAAAAATCCATTGCAAAAATTACAGGACGTGTTAATATTGCCTTGTATGTTCGAAGATGGGTGTTTATTCTATACGCTGGCGAAGTTTTACCGGGAACAAAGCAATTTGAAGGGAATATTTCTCGATTTGAATTGTTCGTGTCGGCTGTTTGAGAACTGGAATCGTTAGCCTTTGCTTTCAATACTATCACCTATGAAGACAGTCGCAGGCAATCGAATGTAAAGTCGCTCAGAAATAAAAGACGATCACATACAATCAAAGTAGGCAAGTAAATATAATTTTAAAATATAAAATTCATTACAAATTTTACTGTGTAGTATATTCTATAATAATATATTTACTATACACTAATACACGTCTGGGCCCCCTGTGGTCTGAGTAACGAGTGCCTTAGACTGTGGTGCAGACGCGCATCTCCGCAAAGTCAGAAAAGTTATCCAAGTATTACCCTGGTTCCAGAGGTTTATTTTTATTATTTTCATTGAGAAGGGGAGAGGACAAATAAACCTCTGGTTGAAAGCGGCAATTGATTCATTGAGCCGCGCTTGTAGAATCCGACATATTTATAACCTATTTTATACCTATTTTTTCTCTATTTAGCCTTATTTTTTCCGTATTTTTTCAAAAACATGACTATTTTATTACTATTTATCAAATTTCATAAAATAGGATATGACTATTTACACTCGATTTAAAATATATGTTATTTATATTCTTCAAAAAAATAGCTTTTAAATAGGTATTCAAATCCTATTTGAAAGAGTATTTGACGGAATCTCTCTATAAAATAGCTTTTAAATAGCTGTTTAATTCCTATTGATGACAAACGAGTCAGTTAAAATAGTTTTAAATAGCTATTTTTAAACTATTTTTGCTTATCTTTTTTGAGCCATTCTTAACACATTTATCAAATAGCAAAATAAATAGATCTTAACTAGCTATTTAATTCCTATTCATAGAAAGTTGTGGCAAACTTTGGTTCAAAATAGCTATAAAATAGCTATTTTTAAACTACGTTTGCTTTTATTTTTGGAGCTATTATTGTCTTTATTGAGAATTGTTAAAATAGTTATTAAATAGGAAAATAAATAGATCTTAAATAGCTATTTAATTCCTATTCATAGAAAGTTGTGGCGAACTTTGTTCCAAATAGCTATTAAGGGGCTGTCTCTCTAAGAACCGACCAATGACTCTCGGCTCATAAAATGAAATTCTTCGTTACTTTCACAATGAAATGTATTTACCCCAAGAACAAACAAACACTATTTGGAATTTTGAAATTTTATTAATTTTTAAAATTTCAGCGACTTTTCGGCCCGCGCCGTCGGGCAGAAAATCCTCTGCCTAAATCAGGAATAAAAATTAGCCGAATTCAAATACATATAATTTTAAAAGTATTCAACCAAATTTTATGATTTTTTAACCCACTAACGTGAAAATTATTCTACTTTGAAACTTACCTTGTTTTATGATACTTTTACAGAAAGATTATGGCAAACTTTAGCGATAACAAGCACCGGGTGTAAATACGGCTTTGTACGCATATCAAATTCGACTTTAAATTTCTCAAAAGTGGCACCTAACTGGATTCAGTGACTAATATGGTTAAAAAATGGAAGTTTGAAGTACCCATATCCACAATAAAACTTGTAACTGACCGCGATTTGAAGACTCGACAGCCTCTGAAATTTGATACAATTTGGCTATTTTGTTTAGCTTCAATTATAGCGGAGTTGAGACGTCAGAGCTTCCAGTCACTTGTAAAATGCGCTCTTGTTCCGTTTTTTTTTACACAAGCCTTTAAATCATCGTATAGTTAAGCGATTTTTCTGTGTTCATGAACATCACAAGTGGGTTTAATTAAAAAAGATTTCGATCGATGCAGCGAGGTATTATCAAACGTTGTACGCTTTCGTATTAAAATTATAGCTACTCGGGGAAAACCCGGAAATTATTGTCAAATTGACAATGCTGATATTTATTAATCTAAACTCTGTATGTCTATTCTGCACGATTGGGAATGAATTTAAGAGGTTATCTCTCTAAGAACCGACCAATGGCTTTAGGCTCAAAAAATGAAAGTCTTCGTTACTTTCACAATGTCTTTTATGATTTTTTCGCCCACGCACGTGAAAGTTATTCTACTTTGAAACTTACCTGGTTTTATGATGCTTTTACAAAACTATTATGGCAAACTTTAGCGATAACAAGCACCAAGTCCAAATACGGCTTTGTACACATATCAAATTCGACTTTAAATTTCTCAAAAGTGGCTCCTAACTGGATTCAGTGACTAATATGGTTGAAAAAAGGGAAGTTTGAAGTGCCAATATCCATGCACAATAAAACTTGTTACCAACCGCGATTTGAAGACTCCCAGAGCCTCTGAAATTTGTTACCTTCAATTATCTCGGAGTTGAGACGCCAGAGCTTTCAGTCATTTGTAAAATGCGTCGTTTCACGCAAGCCGTTAAGCGATTTTTCCGTGTTCATGAACATCAGAAGTTGTTTTAATTCGAAAAGATTTGGCTCGATGCAGCGAGGTAAACGTTACAGCGAGGTAAAATAGAGTCATTGCTAATTTTGGCACTCCCGTCATAAACAGTCTAATCGTGCAACTTTATATAGCTTCTCTTCCGTGTAATGCACAGCAATTCCATTAGTATATATTTGACAATTTCGATTCCCCACTATCAGACCTCTCAACTCTCACGCATTCGGCGTGAGTCTCACGCAATTCGCTTCACTCTCACGCTCTCACGCCACGATTAGTTAATCTCACGCATATAGCAGTTTCATAGTATTTTTTCAATAATATAATATTGTATTCTTAATAAATGCACATTATTTAACAATTATTCGCCGAAGGCGAGGTGATTATCGGTGAATAAAAACCGAGACGAAGTCGAGGTTTTTATTCACGATAATCACCGAGCCTGAGGTGAATAATTGTTTTAGTATAATTTCATAGGTGATTATTTAGAAAAAAATAAAAAATACACATTTTTTCATCATTTAATTGACAAAAGGGCTTCGGCCGCCATTTTGAAAATCGCTTTGGTGATTATCGCGTAATAATCACCTCAACGCCAACCAATCAGCGTGGAGAATTTTCAATAATCACCTATGTAATTATACTAATAATCATTATACGGATCGCTAATCGAATATATAATCGCGTGTTATTGTTCCTGCATATATGGCCCGACATTTTGGCTTTTGCCCGCAATTTGCATGGTACAAAATAGTACGCATATGTAAATACGGCGGACAAAAGGCAGAATGAGTCGGAGCAGAATTCTATATGTAAATTATCACGCAAATTAAAGCTCATTACTGTAGGTCACAGAAATACAGTTATAGTGCCTTGTCTCAATAAAGGACGTTATGAAGCAATAACGTATTTCATTAAAAAACACCAACTCTCATAATGTACGAAATGCCATTTCAGACCCCCGGCCACGGACTTTTACACAGGTGTCATCCACATCCCCAATCTCACTCTTAACTTCTCTGCAAAGTTGAGAGGTCTGCACTATATCTTCACATGATACTATACTTAATTGGGGTAATTTACGCATTAATTAACATTCCCCTTTTTGAATACATCGTGAACAGTTTCTACCATTATTCTGCTCGACGTTTCATATAAGAGTCCCCACATGCCCTGGCCTACCCACACCCCCAGTACGACCCTACCCCAACCTCGCGTTTTTATGACGTCATTTGAAAACTCTTGTATGAAAATAAACTTCACCCTTTATTAGCTCTCCTTAAATAATTCCAGGTGAAGTTGATATAAAGGTCCTCAAATGACATCACAATAGAGGTGGGGTGGGTGTAGGGTAGGGCTCAGGATAGAGTTGGGGTCATTTGGAGACTATTCCATATATGACTCTTCTATTAAATTTCAGCCAAGCCCTGGTTGAAACACTAATTGAAACCCTTATTCGAACTATAATCCAAATCCAATTCAATTGGCATGCACGATTGCAACTGGATCTTTTTGAATAATCAGTATCTATAGTAGTCTTCTAGATCAAGTCTTTTTTCCAGTTTAAATTAATTTCCAATCGTGCAGAATAGACATACAGAGTTTAGATCACAGAATAAGGGTTTAGATTAATTAATAAATATCAGCATTGACAATTTGACAATAATTTCCGGGTTTTCCCCCGAGTGGCTAATTTTAATACGAAAGCGTACCACGTTTACTTCGCTGCATCGATCGAAATCTTTTTTAATTAAATCCACTTGTGATGTTCATGAACACAGAAAAATCGCTTAACTACGATGATTTAAAGGCTTGTGTAAAAATACGGAACAACAGCGCATTTTACAAGTGACTGGAAGCTCTGACGTCTCAACTCCGCTATAATTGAAGCTAAACAAAATAGCCAAATTGTATCAAATTCCAGAGGCTGCCGAGTCTTCAAATCGCGGTCAGTTACAAGTTTTATTGTGGATATGGGTACTTCAAACTTCCATTTTTTTAACCATATTAGTCACTGAATCCAGTTAGGTGCCACTTTTGAGAAATTTAAAGTCGAATTTGATATGCGTACAAAGCCGTATTTACACCCGGTGCTTGTTATCGCTAAAGTTTGCCATAATCTTTCTGTAAAAGTATCATAAAACAAGGTAAGTTTCAAAGTAGAATAATTTTCACGTTAGTGGGTTAAAAAATCATAAAATTTGGTTGAATACTTTTAAAATTATATGTATTTGAATTCGGCTAATTTTTATTCCTGATTTAGGCAGAGGATTTTCTGCCCAACGGCGCGGGACCGAAAAGTCGCTGAAATTTTAAAAATTAATAAAATTTCAAAATTCCAAATAGTGTTTGTTTGTTCTTGGGGTAAATACATTTCATTGTGAAAGTAACGAAGAATTTCATTTTATGAGCCGAGAGTCATTGGTCGGTTCTTAGAGAGACAGCCTCTTAATGTTACCACGTTTAGTTTGCCACGTAAATTGACGATCAGTTGGATGCTGTTTACGCCAAACGTCAACTAAATCAAATCTCTGTATTAGTTTCTTGAGATATAAAGCACCAGTATCTCCTGAGACAGGATTTCCGCCATATTTATCGTTCGCTAAATCTAACATGCAATTAAAATCACCTCCAATAATTAACC